GGGCCAGTGTGCCATATGCCAGGCCTAGTAGACCCATTATGGATGTCACACAGAGCCACAAGTTAGGTAAAGGTAAGGACACTGAGTTGGTTCAGTGGAAGTGCTGGCAGATGTGCACATATGCCTGAGTAGGAGGGAGCTCATCGCAGTCCTCATAATTACAGTGAGGATCTGGGCAGGACCTAACTGCCCATTTGAGGGGCACATGGTTAAATCAAGGTGCTTCAGTGACCACCATGCTGTTCTGAATGTGGAGGAGATAACATGCTTGGCAGGAGGCCCGTGGAGCAGGGTGGGAGGGAGACAATTTACTGCCTTTGTTTTGGAGGGGCAGGATTCTATTTGGGGATATTTATGAATGCTAGGATATTTTCTATTATGATTTTCAATATAGTTTTCATGCTATATCAAGATACAAATTTTTCTTAATTTATGTAAGAAGCCTTTAGGTTAGCATACTGTATATAATCTTTCTCAGTTTCCTTTTTTTTGCTTAATATATCCTAGAAATCACTCCAGATCAGTGGAGTGTGTGAGGATTCCTTGGCACAGAAGGTGACCACAGCATGTAACTAGGATTTTTAGGTTTTTTTCACGTGGCATCAGCTTGAATTTTTTTTTTTTTTTTTCAAATGGCTTCTGGATTTTGAGTTATTGTTGAGAAAGCTGGGAACTCATCATAGTGGAGACTTTTGGGGACAGGGTTTAGAAATAGTGTGTTATATTTTTTTCTGCCTGTTTATTTACTGTCATGTTGAGATTTGTTAAAAAGCAAGCATTGCAATGATGCTCGCCTATTCATAGTGAAATGTTGACCTTGATTTGCTAAGACTTTAAAGTCACCTCAGAACAATCACAGAAAATCGTAAGGCATCTTTTAACTTTAAAAAAGTTAAAAAAGACCTGATTAATTTGGAACCATGACAGTAACATAAAGATTTCTTACATACTATCATATCTGGATCTCTGAATTGGCCAGGTCCTTTCTGTGAATAACATAGCACATGGTTTCTACATTATTTCTTCTTCAGCTGCAGACAAGCACAGAGTATAGCCAGGGCATGAATCCGATTAGCAGACTGGCCCAGATCCAGCAAGCAAAGAAGGACAAGGAGCCGGAGTACGTGCTCCTCACAGAGCGGGGCCTTCCGCGCCGCAGGGAGTTTGTGATGCAGGTGGGTCTGTGCAGGTGGGGATGGCCCTTCCTTTGACCATGTCCCGTATTGGGCTCTAATTATGTTCAGCCAGAGGTTGCTCATGTCATTGACAAATCCATACTTTAAATTTGGGATTTGAGTTCTAGCGTGAATATTGGTTGGCATTTTTTATTTGTATTTACAAGATCAAAGTAAAAGAATGAAGACGTGTAATCTCACTCATTTGTAAATGATATGAATGACTTCTCTGGTAAATTGGATAATAACACTGGAAGAACATTTCATTTTTTTGTACTAGTTACAATGACTGCAGACTTCACATGCTTTTAAACTTAATCTGTTATTAACCTTTTCTCCATTACTTTGAAGTGTAGAATTAGACAATCAATAAACAACTTAATCTTGACATGTAGTGTTTGCAGATTTTTTTTTATTTTGGCAGCTGGCCAGTACAGGGATTTGAACCCTTGATCTTGATATTATAAACACTGCACTGTAACCAACTGAGTTATCTGACCAGTCCTGCAGATTTTCGTGATGGAGATAGTCCTACCATGGCTGATTTCAAGCTATCAAAAGTGACACCTCTGGTGACAGAGTTGGGAGGAGATGTGCAGTAGCACACTATCATATATAGTATTTCAATCATATAAGTACAGTAGACACACAGAATCTCCAAAGCACAGATAATTGTGAAATGTCAAATTAGGAAGTGGTGAGTTTTGAGTATTCATTACCTTTGTTAAAGTAATTTAATTATAAGCTTATATAATTTACGCAGGTGAAGGTTGGAAACCATACTGCAGAAGGAGCAGGCACCAATAAGAAGGTGGCCAAACGCAATGCCGCTGAGAACATGCTAGAGATCCTTGGTTTCAAAGTCCCGCAGGCTCAGCCCACCAAGCCAGCACTCAAGTCAGAGGAGAAGGTGACTGCACGGGCTCTTGTTGCAAGATGGCCTTCTCAGGCACCTCCAGGGGCAAGCTTCAGGGCAAGGCTTCATCCTCCTGGCAGTAAAGCAACACTGCTGAGCAGTGTCTTATCTATTTGGACCATTAGAATATGCTCAGAGGGCACTTGTATGTCCAGTGGCTCCAGGCGTGGCTCTGGGTTAAATTGTTATTGTTTTAGTATCTTTGTGGTCTGGGGATGCTTTGCTGGGGAGCAGTTTGCTCCACTCCAGTTGCAGGATGATGGTTAATTGGGATTGAAATTAGTGAGTGTGATTCTATCATTTGCTCTCTTAAAATGAAGCCTGCATGAAAGATTCATAAGCTTTAGGCTTTCCTTAATTGTGGAGCAGGCTTTGGCTTTTCTGGGACAGCGAGGCACTGTGATATTAGAGTCAGGCCAAATCTATAGTTTAGATTTGGGATTTCTTTTTTCTTAATGTGAATTGAACATCAGATGAAAATAATCCCATGTTGAAAAATTCACTTCTGCCAAAGTGGTAAGCAGGATCTCAGTGGAAGCCTTGGATGACCTTATTTCCAGTTACTGAATGGCCTGTTGGGATAAACTTGAATCAGGACTGATTCATTCATATCTGCCAGTTGTAGCAACAAGGAGAAACAGCATCAGCTGTGGCCATACAGTTAGTAACTGAGAACCCCAAGCACTCACTATAGAATTGGCATAGATCCTAGACTTGGTTTTTGGGTTTTTATTTCAAAATCTTTTAGAGCATTCTTAGGCATTCTTACCTTGTTTCTTCTCAGGAAGGAGACCTTGTGGTTGACAAAACTTTTACTTAGTAATGTTTTCCCGCTAAGTGTGTTGTCTTTGGAAATGTCACCTTATGTTTTAATTGGATATTAGCTCTAGGAAATATTCTAGATTTATTTATTTATCCTCATTATATAAGCTTCTTTCCCCACCTTGGTGGGTTCTACCAACCTACTGTCTTCTGCTCCTTCTGGCTAACTGTTTTCCTCTTCCTGGGAGTGTAGAATACAGGCTCGGCATTCACAGGCGAATACACTTTGAGAGATGCTCTTTGTGGACAGGCCGGCATGGGTGGGAGGGTACATTGGGAGAAGTAGGTGGGCTCTGCCAAGGGGACGGAAGCACACCAGTGGTCGGGTTTGGGATAGACTTTTTTTGCTGATTGCCTCAATTTGTGCTGGTTGGAGTTTGTATAGTTTTAGACTACAGTAACTCATTTTCCAATGCTTTGATTTATGCTCATGACTTTTTTTTTTTTTCCTTCAAGACACCAATAAAGAAACCAGGGGATGGAAGAAAAGTAACTTTTTTTGAACCTGGCTCTGGGGATGAAAATGGGACTAGTAAGTGTGATCTTAGTATTGTCTTGAAGTGAATGTGATTCGGGGATTTTCATGGTTCATGAATAACATCAGGTGCCCATTAACTGTTTTATGACATGCAGAGTGTTTGCTTCTGCATCATTTCCAGGCTGCCGTGGTGTGCCAAGAGGAGGGCCAGTGGGGCTTTACAATGTCATAACGTCTTTGCAGGCAGTAGATGTGGATTTGTGTTTATCTGAATGTATGTCCTTCCCCAGGTAATAAAGAGGATGAGTTTAGGATGCCTTACCTTAGTCATCAGCAGCTGCCTGCTGGAATTCTTCCCATGGTGCCCGAGGTCGCCCAGGCTGTAGGAGTCAGTCAAGGACATCACGCCAAAGATTTCACTAGGGCAGCTCCAAATCCTGCCAAGGCCACGGTAACTGCCATGATAGCCCGCGAATTGTTGTATGGGGGCACCTCGCCCACAGCTGAGACCATTTTAAAGAATAACATCTCTTCAGGCCACGTACCCCATGGACCTCTCACAAGACCCTCTGAGCAACTGGACTATCTTTCCAGAGTCCAGGGATTCCAGGTAACTGTTAGGCTTGAGCTGTGAGGGCTGTGCCTCAGTACAGTCATTTTTTTTCTGAAACGTCTCCTCTCAGAAAATGAGCTTTGTGCCTTGTTTTTTAGATCATGTTCTTTTTCTCAGGGGATGGGTGGGGGAAGCTGTGGCAGGCCCTGGGGAGGGAAGGGAAGCCTGGGAAGTGTTACAAGCATGTGGTAAGAGAAAATCCTTGTGTTTTGATAATAACATTTCAAAATCCAAGCCAATCCTAAAAACAAAGCCTCCAACCACTATTAGTAGTTATAAATTTGGACTCCACAGAAACAGATTAATAGTGCTGACCCTCTCTGCCTGGTGGGAAAGGACATGCTTTTTCCAGCCTGGGGGTTCTGAGTAGACATCTAGGTTACTGGAAAATTCTGGGCTGGGGCCATTCACCAATAGTCCCCTGTGACAGGGCAGGTGTTGGTGTGGCCACAGTCAGGAGGAGCCCAGGGATAGAGAAGTGTGTGCTCCCTGCTTGCTGGGTCTGGAGCTGCAGCCCTGCCTCTCCCCCGCTGGTGCTCACCGCTTCCCTACCCTGGCCTCCATTCTCTTTTCCCCCTTAGGTTGAATACAAAGACTTCCCCGCTGGGTCTGGAGCTGCAGCCCTGCCTCTCCCCCGCTGGTGCTCACCGCTTCCCTACCCTGGCCTCCATTCTCTTTTCCCCCTTAGGTTGAATACAAAGACTTCCCCAAAAACAACAAGAACGAATTTGTATCTCTTATCAATTGCTCCTCTCAGCCGCCTCTGATCAGCCATGGTATTGGCAAGGATGTGGAGTCCTGCCATGATATGGTAGGTCACCCCTCAGGTTGAGGGGTCAGTGAGTTAAATTGTGTGTTTATCTGGTGCCCGCCCTTGTTCACCTTGTTACTGACTGCAGAAGGGCAGGAGAAGGATTCTGCCATAGAGAACAGTTGATTGTTCGATAGAGTTCGTATTTCTGAAGACTTTTGTCTTAGTTGACTGGATGGATTTCTCACTCTGTTGAACAGAACTCATCAGCTTTAGCCATCCTTTCCCTTCCCTTTCCCATGCTGGCCTGGGGGTGGGGAGGGGTGACTGCGATCCTGGAACTTACCCAGATACTGTATTTACTTGATTTCTCCCCAGAACAAGGGATTGCAGGTCCATGTTCTAGCAGCTGTGGAACACCCTTTACTTTGGTGTTCTGTTCAGATGAAATCATTGTTATAAGAAACCAAAACTGAAAAGGAATTAAATTAATTTACGTAAACTATGGTATATTCACTTGATGGAATATAATGCCTCCATCAAATTAATGTCTCTGAAGATAATGTAATAAGGAAAATACAATAGGTTTTTGTTTGAAAGCAGGATATAAAATTTGTACAGTCTGGTTACCACAAGATTAAAAATACTAAAAGGAAATATGTAGTAAAATTAACAGAGGTTGTGATTCAATGGGATAACCATGGATAATTTATTTTTTTAATTTTGTATTTTAAATTAGAAGTTCAAACATTTTATTTAGTGGAAGCAGAGTTTAAGAAGTTGCTACCCACTGGCTGGGTGGCAGGAATGCCTTCACCTCCCTGCCCGATGTTTCATGCTGAGGTCCCAAGCAGAGGCCATGATTTTACTTTTTCTTCCATCCCCACTAGGCTGCACTGAACATTTTAAAGTTGCTGTCTGAGTTGGACCAACAAAGTACAGAGATGCCAAGAACAGGAAACGGACCAATGTCTATGTGAGTTAGCTGATTTACATGGAAGGTTCTGCTGCTCCTCTTTTGCATGAAATTCAAACTGTCTGCTGACTCAGAGGGGGAACACTGGCCTGAGTCATATTCTGGCCCTTTTTCTTGAAAGATTTCCAAGTTCTCTGGGCAGAGCTCTACTTTTTATTTTTTAAATTTAATTTTGAATATGTAGTACATTCACATGGTTCAAAACTCTGAATTATTTTAAAAGGTACACAGTGACAGATCTTGACCTCACACGGTCCCCTTTCCTCACATTCTCCCCTATCCTCCCCCCTGCCATAGATTACATTTTTATTAGTTTCTTGTATATCTGTCTCGTATGTTTATGCAAATATAGACATACATTTCTTTCCACATTTTCTTCCCTTTTCCCCCAGAGACATCATTATACAAATAGCTTCCTCCATTTTTCACTTTACTGTGTATCCTGGGGAAACTTTACTTAATGTAGTTATCATAAACTGGGGCCTGTACTGTTGGACTTGCTGATGTTTGCTAATTTATTTTCATTTTTAATATCAGCTTAATTTTCTTACATTTCAAAACTGGTGTCATTTTCATTTTTCCTTCTTTAAAGGTGCGGGAGGTGCTGAACCTTTTCTGGCCACAAACCATTATAAAATCCCAACATATATACTGAAAATACTGAAACTGCTTTGAAAATTTGGAATTTCTGATACCTCCAGTGGGCCGAGAAACATGGTGGGTAAAGAACGTGGCAGCAGTGGTGAAGACAGCAGAGACCTGAGGCAGCCATGGCCAGGCTGGACCGTGCTGGGGTTCGTTGTGACCTGTGGTCCCCACACAGAAGCAGCTGCCTATGGGGAAGGAGGGGCCTGCCCAACAGCCTGGCTCCACTGGGACACCAGCAGGTCCATGTCCCCGGGCAACTCAGGGCTTGGTTTTTTTTTTTTTTTGCTGTGTGAAAGAACAAACAGAAAACAGAGAGCACGACCCCTTCTCAAACTGGCTCACTCAAACACCTTGGGATACGCCCTGGACAGCCACACCAGAGAGAGGCCCTAGACCGGCCCCAGAGCTAAAAGCACCAGAGAAAATCAAATGCTTCCTAACCTTTCTAGTGTGCTAAGGCCCTCACCTCCCATAGTACCCACATCATAACCACTGCTTTTTCTTCCAACAGTGATACGTATTCTAAGTTTCATTATTTTCTTTTAACTGATATGACACTATATAAAATTTTCATTTGAGTTTCTCAATTGTATCTAGTTATATAGCACAGTTTAGAAACATGTCTGAGACTGACTTTATCAGTAATCTAACCAGTAAAGATCATATCCATGTATATGTGGTTATACATTTTTATTCTATTGAATTAACCCAGGACCATTTCAGTGATGCAAATTGTGTGCCCTTTGGTTTAGCTGAAGCAGTCCTGGACTTCTTAGAAACCTTGATGAAGCTTCCCACAGTTGTATAAATTGGACAATTTAGGAATTTTAAAACTTAAATGATTATTTGGTTCCTTTTCTATTTTATTTTTAATTTTTGTTAATGCAACAGGACTTAAACAAATGAACTTTGATCTTTGTGTTAAAGTTTATCAAACAAAAATTGTGTGTCTATACATATGGCTCTTGAGGATGTAGCTCTCACTACACTACAGGATATGATCTCCGTGTAGTATACATAGACCTGCAGATTGATTTTCCTTGAGTGCTTGATACTGTTAATTACATCTCCATGTAGGGCTGAAAAGAATGACCTGTGTTTATGTATGCAGCCGTGTTGCTTTTGGTGTTGTGTTACTGTACACAGGAATGTGTGCACTAGGGTTTTGCGCATGGTCCAGATGAGGAGCACGGTAGCCTTGCCAGTTAAGTGCTGCTTCCATTCATTGTTTACGCTGGAATTTTTTCTCCCCATGGAATGTAAGTAAAACTTAGTGTTTTGTCACCAATAAATGGTAATACTAAAGTTTTTTTGTTAATTTATTCTCAAATACCACTATTGCTTAGGTTGGTCCTTTTTCCCAACTTGCCCCTTACCCTTTTTTTATTTTTAAGAAAAAAAATTTGTAATGCTTGTTATTTCACCTGGGCAAAAATATCTGAATAACTTTATATCAAACCATTGATCAATAAACAGCTACTAATGAAGTTTCTGGTCCTCTTGAGCAGTAACTAAAGACAGGAAGATGTGAGGTAATGGAAGCGCCGTGTGGTGGTAGGGGCGGCGCAGGGCAGGGCCAGCGCAGGAAGCTGCCCATGAGAGGTGTGTGGGCACCCGGGGGAAGGGAGGTGCCCCTCTCCTGGATAGGACAGTGCTACCAAAGGAATGGACCTGAGGAATTGAGCCACTGCTGGCCCCTGTGAGGGCTTCGCTTCCTTCGGGCATGTCATGGTAATTGTGAGCACCAGGGAGGCTGCTCGTTCCAGTCTGGCTGAGGAGCAGGCTGGTTGGTTTTCATTTTTAATTAGAAGATCTGTAATAAGATTATAAAGGTTGTTTCGCTATAAAGCCAGCCTATGGTTGGACTGCCTGAGTAACTGAAAGTGATCAGAAAGTTATGGAAAATGTTAAGGGTGGAAAGAAATTTGACACTTTGAGGATACTAAGCCATGAAAGGAAAAAAGATTTTATATCTTTAAAACTAAGACTTAGGAACCTGTGACTCACATTAAGACCCTCTTCCAGATTCATGTGTTCTTAGAGAAGCTGAGTCCGCAGGCCCTGCAGCCACTTGCTGATGTGTGCTCGTGAAGAGCACGTGCTTGGTGGATGGTGGCTCTGGAAGCTGTCCCGTGGGATCTTCTTTTGGGTTTTTCACTATTTGTAAAAACTCATTCTTGGTACTCCACCGAAGAAGCAGATGGCTTAGACTAACTTTAGTAATTCACTCCAATTAATTGGTTTGAGCATTAAGTGTTAAAAGCATTGCAGTGAAAAAAAATTACAGTTCAGGGCTGGCCCGGTGGCGCACTGGAGAGTGCGCCGCTTGGGAGCGCGGTGGTGCTCCCGCCGAGGGTTCGGATCCCATGTGGAGACCAGTTCCCGCTCACTAGCTGAGCATGGTGCAGGTGCAACACCGAGGGTTGCGATTCCGTTGCCGGTCCCCGGTACGGGCGTGACACCGAGGGTTGCGATCCTGTTACCGGTCAGTAAAAAAGACATAAAAAGGGGGAAAAAAAAAAAATTACAGTTCAAAAATAGAATACAATAACAAGTTTTTTATTAATATCTTTGCATACGAAAACACTACAACATAGACTTCACATAAAAAGGGGGAAAAAAAAAAAATTACAGTTCAAAAATAGAATACAATAACAAGTTTTTCATTAATATCTTTGCATACGAAAACACTACAACATAGACTTCCTTTATCTTTTAAAAATTTATTTTGAAATTATTTGAGAGAAAAGTTCCTGAAACGTCATGTGCGTTCTTCTCTACCTCTCTCCTCAAAATTTACATATTCCTCAAAGTCAGGAAATCAGTATCACCATCTAGTTCACAGACCCCATGCAGAGTTTGACAGCTGTCCCAACAATGTCTTGTTCTTTTCTGGTCCAAGGCCTGTGGAGAGCACATGTTGCCTTTGGTTGTCTCCTGCTGTCTGGCTCCCCGTCTTTCCTGGCCTAGTGGAGGTGAAGTGTGCAGGCCTCTCGGTAGCTGACCTTTACCTGGGGTCTGGCTGATGGTAAACAGACTGGGGCAGTATTTTCTTGGCAGGACAGCCATAGAAATGATGCTGTGTTTTTCTCCCTCCGTGTGTCATGCCAGGGGCTCACACTGTTGGTCCATTAACCTCTGTCACCCACTCCTGTCAGGCAGGTTGATCTACGGAGAGGCTGCATTTTCTTTTAGTAATAAAAGACTATTTTGTGGGAAAGTGTTTTCAGCACACGACCAATCTCCATCCTTGGTCTGCACTGAAAACTCCCATCTGAATCCATCCTGGACAGCTGCCTGTGGAGCACCTCCTCTTTCCGTTGGTCTCCTCTTAGCATCGCACCACTGTAAGGAGGAGCTTTCCCTTCCCATGTATTCAGCATAACAGCTAGTGAGACACCTCTGTCCGCTAATAGATTCCTAGTTTATTGAATGGCTTGTAATCCGTTATTCCCATTTATTTCGATGCCCAAATTATTCCAAATTTGGCTACCAGAAGACCCTTCAAGGTGCCTCTTGTGTCCTTTTGACATGTCCCCATCTTAAGAAAAAAATTTTGTGTGGTAAAATATAAATACAAAATTTACCATCTTAACCACTTTTAAGTGTACAGTTCAGTGGTATTCAGTACATTAATGTGTAACCACCACCACCACCCATCTCCAGAACTCTTCATCTTGTAAAACTGAAACTCTATATTTTTAACTCCCCACATCTGTCTCCCTTAAGTCTCTGGCAACCCCCATTCTACTTTCTACCTATGATTTTGACTACTCTACCTACCTTATAAAAGGGAAATGAATCGTACAGTATTTGTCTTTTCGTGACTAGCTTATTTCATTTAGGATAATGTCCTCAAGGTTCATCCTTATTGTCGCAAATGTCAGAATTTCCTTCCTTTTTAAGACTGAATTATACTCCATTGCATGTGTATACCACATTTTATCCATTCATCTGTTGATGGACACTGGGTTGCATCCATGTTTTAGTTGTTGTATTATGCTGCTTTGAATGTGGGTGTACAAATATTTCTTTGGGACCCTGTTTTCAATTCTTTTGGGCATATAGCCAGAAGTGGAATTGCTGGATCATATGGTAATTCTGGGTTTAATTTTTTGAGGAACTGCCAGATTGTTTTCCACACCGGCTGTACCACTTTATATTCCCACCCACCAACAGTGTACAAGTTTCCAGTTTCTCCACACTTGCCAACAAACACTTGTTTTTTGCTTTTTTGGTAGTAGCAATCCTAATGGGTGTGAGATGGTGTCTCATTGTAGTTTTGATTTACATTCCTGTAATAATTAGTGATGTTGAGCATCTTTTTATGTGCTTATTGGCTACTGATATATCTTATTTGGAGGAATGTCTATTCTTCAAGTCCTTTGCCCATTTTGAATTGGGTTGTTCGTTGAGTTTTAGAAGTTGTCTGCATATTCCAGATATTAATCCCTTACCAGATACATGATTTGCGAATATTTTCTTCAATTCTGTGGGTTGCCTTTTTACTGTTTATATTATCTTTGGATGCACAAAGTTTGAAAATTTTCATGAAGTCCAGTTTCTGTTTTTTCTTTTGTTGCCTATGCCTCTCATGTCCTATCCAAGAAATCATTACCGAGTCCAATGTCTTGAAGCTTTCTGTCCTGTTTCTTGCTAAGGTTTTTGTAGTCATAGCCCTTACGTCTAGGTCTTTGATCTGTTTTGAGTTAATTTTTGTCTGTGGTGTTAGGTAAAGGGTCCAACTCTTATTACTTTGCATGTGGATATTGTTTTCCCAGCACCATTTGCTGAAAATGAAGAGAGTGTCCTTTTCCTCATTGAATGGTCATGTTATCCTTTTCATTTGACTGTTTATGTGAGGATTTACTTCAGGGCTCTCTATTCCATTGGCCTGTATGTTTGTTGTTATGCCAGTACCACATAGTTTTGATTACTGTAGCTTTGTAGTAAGTTTTGAAATCAGGAAGTGTGAGTCCTCCAGCTGTGTTCTTTCTTGAGATTGTTTTTGGATCCAAGGTCCCTCAAGATTCCATATGAATTTTAGGATGGGCTTTTATGTTTCTGTAAAAATCTTTTGTTCCCATCATTTTCTGAGCACTAACTTACTTTCAACTCATTGAGATATTTGGGATTCAACTTATTCTTTCCCTTTCCCCAGTCCTGGATCCAGCCATTTCTCCAAGGAGCCCTGGTCCTCTTTAATGGGACAGCATTTAGAAATCATGATCTGGGCACTCTTGTTACTGGTGTGTTGTTTCTAGGGCCCCTGATGGGA